TTCGCTAAAATCCCTGATTTTTCGAAAACTGCAAACGTTCAATATTTTTCGAAGTCCTTCTACAACTGCAACAATAATGACAGACATTTTTTTCCTTAATGAAATCTGTTCTGTAATGACAGATCTTAAAATAAGGTTATGTACAATTTTTTGAAAATATTAGGAGTAATTTGCGTGTAATATGGACAATTTTTAAACAATTATTTTCTCAAAATGGCTCGACATTTTTTAAAAATTATTACTTTGTTTGTATCAATGGAAGGTACATAATGTGTGCTAGTCTCATTTCCGGCAAACACTCTGTTTTCGAAAATTGCAATAAGTTAACATTTGAAAACTATAAACCTGGAGTTAGTGATTTTTGCCTTTATGAAAATATATACTAAAAATCAACTCTACAAAAGGATGTGTACAATTTTTTTTTAGAAAACCAGTCATTATCGTGGAATTTCTGTTTAAAATTAATGCAATTTATAATAAAAAACATTTTCTCAAAAATAATTATTTTTTTTCTTTAAAAATTATCTTCGGATGCTTAAATTAATTGCAGTGGTCTCGTTTTCGTTGAACTCTGAATTTTCGAAAATTGTGTGATGGAAATATTAGGAGAGATTTTTAAGTGTCAGCTCAAAAGTGTAGGTCAGAGCGACTGCAAGGTGTAGCAGTAATGCGCACGGCGAGTCAACTCCATGGACATGTGTTTGTGTCTCGGTGCGGAAAAAAATTGCTGGTTAAGAACACTATTCCATGTTGATGTGGCAGTATAATATTGGGGAGTCGTTGCACATAATGCAAGAAATTTGCTGTTGTAGCTCAACGTATTTGCAAAAGCTATTTTTGCACAAATTGCAGCACGAGTATATTCTTCTTGTAGCAGATATCAGATAGAAACTTGTCACACCAACAACAGCACGCATTTACTTTCTCGCACTTCGTATTTTAGATGCAATTTGAACCTTGTCATTCCAAAAGTTCGATTCTTCATAAAAAAAACATGTGCTTGATCCGACCTTTTCTTCGGAACCTTGACCACTTAGAACTATTTCGTAATAAAAAAAGTCGAAACCCGTGTCGGAGGCATCATCCCACTCCGGAGTCGCACGGAGCAGTGGCAACGGCGGCGGCGTGGGCGGCGGCGGGGGCGGCAGTGGCGACAGGGCACGGCCGGGGCAAGGGAC